GTTGGGTCAGTTCTCTTTATCATGCACGTAGTGATTTTTCATTACCTTTTCTCAGTTCTGAGGATGGAGCAGGATGTTGAAAAGTTCATCAGGGACCCTGGTCGACAGCAGATGGAATTCCAGCAGCTGCCTACCTCCTATTTGCGACTGGCTGCTCACCGTGTGGCACAGCACTATTCACTACAATCAATGGTTTTGTTGGACAATAGTCTACCGGATGGCTCGGGTTCCAGAATTATTGTGCGCAAGACTTCTGAATGTCGGATGCCTTTGATTCGCTTGGCTGACATCCCGGTGAATTTGCCTCAAGGAGATACTGGCGTGGTTAAGGTTGCCATTAAGCAGAGGCCACAGAAAGGTTCACAGTTTGCAGGTTCTTCAAATTCAAATTCATCAAAGGGAAATTCTGCCAAAAGTGTTGAGGAAAGAAAGGAGGAATATAATAGGGCTCGAGCACGTATTTTTAACTCTAATAGTTTAAGTGGGAGCTCCAATGTAAAACCTGAAACTGAATCAAGGTCACAGGATACTTTCCAGTATGGTCCAATAGTCATACCACAGCTAGAAGAAAAAGGTAGTCTAGCTGGCGGTTCTGATTTGAATACTGGGCGGGGTCTGATTGATTCTTCAACAAGTAGCAGTAGATCAGCTAGAAGTAGGACAGAAAAGGAGCCAGTTGGTAGATCTAAATCTAATAATAAGGTGGCTATCTTTCGTGATCGGGAAATTGACCGGAAGGACCCAGATTACGACAGGAGTTATGACAGGTCTTTCTCAGTCCTCTGCTATTTTGTGAATATACTGTAAAGTGCTCCCCTTTCCTTCAGTTTCTGTTTTGTGTATGTGTTGGTGGTTCAGTCATGTGGTATCTCTTTTAACATGGATCGAGCGGATTGTTTTATATTGTCGTAAAAGCACTCCTTTATTCTATGAGATGTTTAAGTACCATCACTTTATTCTGGCAAGTATTCGTGAATTTCTTTGCCATGTATTCTGTATATGAAATGTTCAAATGGGTTATTTCTACAAATGTTTATTCCTATTGATGTTTTACTGACCAATCTGGGGAAATGCTTGTTTGTGGACTGGCTGTTCTACAATGATTGGTGTCACACAAAGAGTGATTCGAAGTATATGTGGGGATCTATGGTTCTTTCTTTTATTACATGCTGACTTATGACATTGTACCACCTATGTTCCCTTTTCTTTTCGTGTAGGTTCTTTTTCTCTTTTTTTGGGTGGGTTGGGGTGGGGGATTGAATATAACCTGAGGTTTGGGTTATAGGATGCATAAGGGAAAAGCTTTTAAATCCTTTTTGTCTGTTGCTTCACACACAGGAAAAGATTGGGCCAAAAAAACTGTCATTCTTGGCCTGTCCAATCGTATTTGATGAAAAATCATAGCCGAAGTGATTCTATCTGGATTTGAATGTAGTGAAGTTGTCATAATACTCATCATGATCCCCTTTTGTCCCGTCTCCCTCAATTTTACAGATTGTCTTTTTGTGCTCGTGGTTCTTTTCACTATGATGCTCATGTCGTTTTCCTGCAACTTAGTCGGTGAGTCTAATTGACTTTTTATTTTGCAGATACATGCAAAGGTTTGATCCTGGGTTTGGATTTACTGGTGGCCCATATACAATTCAGCCCATGTACGCTCCTGCAATAAACTACAACACTGAGTTTCCCCAGCTTGGTGCAGCACTTCGGTCTCCCATTTCTGCTGAAAACCAACCTCGTCCACTTCCTCAACATTTACCTGGGCCTTGGGCAACATCAGCGACTCCTGGCATTGGTTATGGTCCGGCAGAGAGCATGATGCCTCCCCCTTTTAGTCACAATCATGTTAGTGCACGCTCAAGCGCAGCTATATATTTGCATTCAACGCAGTATCCTTGTCAGCGTCCTGGAATGACTTTTATCCATCCTCACGAGCAGGTTCACCAACCCTTCTCACAGGTATGGGAAAAAAAGTCTTTTCGCGTCAATCATTTGGGCTTGTTTTTTGCTGAACCCCGGGGACCTGGACAGATTTAAGAGGAAATTGCACCAATTCATACCATGTGGTGACAAACTGTCTCATAAGTCGTGTTTCGATGTAACATGTTCACACTACCCCTCACACAGAGTGCAAGAGATGATAATAGGTTAAGCTTGAAGCAAAGTTTAGTAAGTTTGGGAAAAAATTTCAGGTAAAGAGCATGCTGGGATCTTCATATTTAAGTGCTTGGTTTATACGTTCGAAGGATTTAGTGATGCAGATACAAAAAGTGGATCCAATGGCAGCTACACTTACTTTCCTGTAGGATGCTTGTTGTATCTTGTTAAGCTATATTATCTTATATTGGCATGTGTATGAGGAATTTTAGCTTGTAGAGAGGGTCTCTTTCTTCCACATGAGATAATATAATTATCCACTCAGTAGTGTTTGGCATTCTGGTTTTTTTTTCCACTTTAGGGTTTGCTTCATCATTTGATTGATCCTCCTGTTCATGGTTTTCCAGCCTCATCAACTGCAACCTGATGGTTTTGGATTAGCCCGGCCCCGGTGAGGGGCACGGGCCATGCCTGCATCCTGCGACGTACAATTCAGCATCTTGAGGGGGATGCTGAGCGGTAAAATGTTGCAATTGGCGGGGTGCAGGCATGAACAACTGAGACCTGTTGGAGTAGATTGTTCAGCTTGCAATATTTTCCATCCACCAGTCTCAGTTTTATGGAACCTCCTGCATTGCTGAGGATGCTCATATGTCCTGGAAGTTCCATTGCATGGATGAGCACTCAGCTCAATTGCCATGGAATCATGACAACGATGATGATGACGACAAATGAAATCAGCAAGAGTTCAGAGCTGGCAATATAAGAAGTTTTATCGGTTTTAGGTTTATTCTCGTTTTCTATTTTCTTGCCTTTCTTTATGTTGTCTTTTCTACATCTGAAGTAATTGTAACAATGTGCTGCTTGATTTGTGTCACAGCCTCGTCAAAGCTCCAAGAAGAAAGACAATAAGGTTAGAGATTTTGAGTAAATAGTGTCGACAGGACATGCAACCTTAAGCAATTGGTAGCTTTGGTGCCAGACTGACAGTGATAATACAGAGCTCTGATTACCGGATGTTCCTCTGAAGCAATGTCCAGGAGAGACTCTGCAGATAATGTATTTAAATGGAAAGTGTTTCCCCTTTTACTGCTTTTCTTGTTTGGACAGAATATTCGACTACTTTGTCTTTCGCTGACTAGTTTGTAACTGAAGCATTTTGTTTGGTCAGAACTCCGTCGCTCTTCACCAAAATGATAATGATCCTTCCTGGCGACTATGCCGGTATTCCCCTGTGGTTGATCTATCCTAATTCTCTGTAGAGAAATGGGATGCGGCCAAGTGTGCTAGTGTCAAGCAACTTGACACTTGGTGGTTGCGTCAAATCGTTCCAGTTACCAGGGCTAATAGTTAGGGGTTGGGCGTAACAGGACATCTCGTATGCTCTCTATTCAGTGTCATAGGCGGTTCAAGGAAAATGTGACTCGTGCCCCCCAACAACGGCATTACTTTTATTTTCTGAAAGTATTCAAAATGGCAATGAAACTCAACAAATATGGTCTGTTTTCTTGACTTCGCCCCATTATCGGCCAGGACTCTACGTAATAGAATTGCAGTCAATTAGCACCAGGAGTGTCAGAGGGATGAACAATTAGTTACTAGTAGGACGCAAATTTCAACAAGTTGGCGTTCACAACTAAATTGTTATACTATGAAAACGAGTACAAGTGGACTTTCTGTAGCCAAATGGAATGTCTGGGAAATGAGGTAAATCTTTTGTGAAATAGATAACTAATATAGTTAAAGGAAAATCATCTTGGAAAAAAAAAAGAAAGCGAAAACTCATAAATAGATGGATCTAGTAATAGAAGATTTGTGGATAGATGAGGTTTATATGGTGCAATTGCGTTAAAAATATATTTTTCTACTCAACCATTTCTTCGGGCGAAAGACGTGTTCCTGATTACTTTATTATCTCATTTGCAAAAGAAAAACGAAACACTTTACTAGTAACCCACTATTGGAAAGCTATCCCAAACATTGGTACATTTGCCTAATTTATTTCCCTTTTCTTTTTATCTTTATCAAATCAATAAACTCATTTTAAGTTTCCTTTAGAACAGTAACAGACCGGAAAACCTTTACAACTTCTTTTGTTGTGCTTTAAATATGATATTTCATATCGTTAAAGAAGTATTTTGGTTAAATAATTAGTTTTCGATATATGAGTACCAAATCTACCACTTCCTTTTATCCTATTCCAGCACCGTCAGAGTTAAAGTTATGCTCATTGGCGTGCATATTTTTATATCATCAGGTTAAATTGACGTAAAAATTCTCTATAAATGTTTGTTTTGCATATGGAAGTCAAAACTTACAGCATCATATTGGGGTTTCTCACATGAATATCCAAATCACAGGTTAGCCTCAGCTGTCTCCCGTGCTCAAGCCTTGCGCAAGCATGTTTGTGTCTGCACCACAAGAGGCAACTTTTTCCACCCTGAGAATGTCTCTTTCTTGGCTTTATTCTTTAACAACCTTATTATTACAAAGCAAAAACCACGTGCAATAGTATTTCCCTATAAGATTAGCCTAACTCTTTCTCACTTTTAAAGCAAAATCTAGCGTCTTATTAGGAAGAGGAAATAATAGGAAACCTTTCTCTTTCCCTAACTTCATGGTTAAAGTGCACTTTGACCTGTGTTTTATATGAGGATAAAGAAAAGTTTGTGGGCTTTGCTGATATGGTAATGAATACTTCTTTATAGTGAACTGTGCTATTCTCGTGTGATTGTTGTCATGTTTATCAATTAGTGTGTACCAAGTTTACGTGCATATGACTATATAAACATATCTATTGTCTCAAACACTGCCCAACAAAATTGATCTTACTCTTAAGGTACTGGCCCTTCAAGTTCATACTAAAACTCAGCATTTTCCTTTCTTTTTAAAAAAAAAAAAAATTCTGTTCTACTTGCTTAACTCAAACCTCAAAGTCTACCAACTGTTAAGAATTGGTGCCTTCAATAAAGTATCATGAAAAAAAGGACCAATTGTTACATTCAATCCTGTCATTGGGAGTTGGTTTGTTTATTAGACCCTTGATTACTAATGACCTCAAGAAAAAGAAAAAAACTAACTACATCTGTTAACACAGAGCCCAGATATACCATTTTATATTCATTACAATTTTTGTCTTCATGCACGATATATGCAATGTTTACTGTACATGGAAGATAGTCTTCTATATTTTCTGCTCTGCCTTGTGTTTCTGTATTGAGGTATACTGATTTTGCTTCACTTTTTTCATGATCAATTCACAGCTATGGACAGAGAGAATTCAGAGCTGTACCTGCGTAACTGTCAGATTATGTGGGAGAATGAGAGGCTGCGGAAGAAAGCTCAACGTCTCAACCAGGAGAATCAAGCTTTGTTATCAGAGCTGAAACGGAAATTAGCAGCTATAAATGCCAAGCGGAAACCTGAATTTGAAGTTAATATGGGTTCCAGTTCTGTCAGCGATCAAATGGAAGCCAACAAACGTCAGGTACTGGAATGAGAGTGATGTTCCAAGTCACTTCCTCCAGGTGTTTGTGAAGATCAAAATCATGAGAATTTTTAATTTGGGTTTTACCAACATTATAGCAATTACAAGGCTATGTGCCAACTAAAACTATTTATTTTTGCATTCGCACCAAAATAATGTACTTTTTTAGTAATCAAATAGTGCTTGCCTAAAAGCTCTATTACCAACTGCACCCCCAACAGAAAAATCAGGAAAAGGATTATGCTATAAGGGGTTGTGAACTAAAAAGCTAGGTTTCTACTTCACCAATTATCAATCCACAATTAACTTCCTGTCTATGCTTGAGAATGTCTGGTAAAATGCCTTGAAGTGCTTGTATGCAATATCAATATCTTCCTTTCCGCATATCTCTCTCACGCTGCAATCGCAGAAAAGTAAAGTCATATTTATCGAATTAGATGACCAACTTAAGGAAGCAGGTGACAAAAGCAAATCTGGCAAACTAGGATGAGGAAGAAGATATAAATGAACAGATTCAAATACTATAGTGTCCCTCAACTCTCAAGTTACATGCGACCATTTCATCATGTCAAACTACCAGAGCTGATGACAGCTTCAAACTTCATAAGTTTATCATCTAGCAGCCTGGCAATTATCTTATACCATAGAGAAATTTTTATTTTGAAAAAGTACACAAACATTCTTAATGGCAAGTTCGCCAAGGTGCCTGGATGTTGAACATCTCGAAAAGAAACAAACCCAACCGTAAAAGAAATAAAAGAAAGAAGACAAAAGCTGTAAAAGAAGACAGAGAAAAAGAGAAGAAAGAAAACGTGGAAAAACAAAAGCTGTAAAAAAAGACAGAAAAAGGGAAGAAAGAAAACGTGGAAAAGTCAAAGTTGGTGTGAAAGAAGAATTCGGCCGGCAATTTGCGGTGGAGCAGGCAAAAATTGCCGTGGAGCTATTCTTCTCTCTTCAATTAATAAAGAACTATTCTTTGTATGGCCGTGGAGTAGGCAAAAATTGCCGAACCACGTAAATCTTGTCTTGTCTTGTGTAATTTGTTGCTTCTCTTTTAAATATTTTTCCCTTCTATTAGCCTGGCACACTTTCCAACAACTGGTATTAGAGCACAGACAGTGTAATTCTGGTATTGGTGCAGGTACTATTAACAAGAATAGTGCGACACTATTGATCATTATTACTAACACTATTCATTAATAGTGATAGTACTATTCACCAATAGTAATTGTTGTCTACCTTATAGAGTTGGGATATTTTTTTCTTACACGGAATAGTATTTGTCGTTACTATTCACAGGCAATATTCGCATAAAATTTTTTTTTGTGAAAAATGGCATCGGAAGAAGTGAATGTTAAGATTGACAGGTTCAATGGCATAGATTTTGGATTCATACAAATAGAGGATTATTTGTACCAGAAAAAATTACACTTACCTCTGAACGAGGTAAAACCAGAGAATATGGCCAAAGCGGATTGGGATCTATTAAATCACCAAGTTTTTGGTGTGATTCGTTAGACGCTAACACGAAATGTGGCGTTTAACATCATTAACGAGAAGACCACTGCACGCCTGATGAATGCGTTATCAAATATGTACAAGAAGTCATCTGCTTCAAATAAAGTCTATTTGATGCGTCGATTGTTCAACTTAAAGATGACAGAAGGTGGATATGTTACAGAACATATCAATGAGCTTAATGTAATATTAACTCAGTTGAGTTCTGTCAATATAACATTCGATGACGAAGTCAGGGCATTGATTCTACTATCATCTCTACCGGAGAGTTGGTCTGCAACAATAACTGCAGTTAGCAGTTCATCGGGAAGTACCAAACTCAAATTGGATGATATTAGAGACTTGGTTCTAAGCGAAGATATTCGCCAGAGAGAATCAAGTGATTCCCCAGGATCTGCTTTGAATACCGAAAGCAAGGGAGAAGCAGCCAAAGAAGACAAAGTCATGGTCATGGCAGATCAAAGTCAAGGAGAAGAGGGCAATCCAAAAATCGCAAAGACATTACGTGTTGGAATTGCGATAAGCCAAAGAAGAAGAACGATCAATACAAGGATGATAATTCAGCAAATGCAATTGCTGAACAAGTCGGTGATGCACTAATTTGTTGTGCAGTCGAATCTTGGATTCTGGACTCAGGTGCATCCTTTCACTCTACATCATGCAAAGAATTATTGCATAATTATATTGCTGAAAATTTTGGAAAGGTTTATCTAGCAGACGGCGAACCTCTAGACATTGTCGGGAAAGGTGAAGTTCATATAAAGACTTCACAAGGCACGCTATGGAAATTGCAAAATGTCCGACATGTTCCTGGCCTCAAGAAAAATCTGATATCAATGGGTCAGATTCACAGTGAAGGATATACAACAATATTCGATAACGGATCGTGGAAGATAACCAAAGAAAATTTGGTTGTGGCACGAGGCTTCAAGAAGGGAACACTGTATGCAACTGCAATATAGAGAGATACTATAGCAACAATTGATCATAGTCGTGATACAACATTATGGCACCAGAGGCTCGGGCATATGAGTGAGAAGGGAATGAAGTTGTTGGCATCCAAGGAAAAGTTGTCAAACCTAAAGCATGTTGAATTACGTTTGTGCGAAGATTGCATTTACGGAAAACAAAAGAGAGTTAGTTTCTCAAAGGCTGGAAGGACGCCAAAGAAAGAGAAGCTGGAACTAGTGCATACAAATGTGTGGGGACCAGCTTCTGTAACTTCTCTAAGAGCCTCACGCTATTATGTCACCTTCATTGATTATTCCACAAGGTATGGGTTTAATTTCTGAAAAATAAATCTGATGTGTTTGTTGCCTTTAAAAGATGGAAAGCTGAAGTTGAAAATCAGACAAGTCTAAAATTAAAATGTCTGAAGTCTGACAATGGAGGGGAGTATGATAGTCAAGAGTTTAAAGCATTCTACTCTGAGAATGGGATCAGAATGATCAAGACAGTTCCTGGAACACCGGAACAAAATAGCATTGCTGAGAGGATAAACAAAACCCTGAATGAACGAGCCAGAAGTATGAGAATACATTCTGGATTGCCGAAGTATTTTTGGGCCGAGGCTGTTAACACGGCAGCTTACCTCATAAACAGGGGACCCTCTGTAGCACTGAATTTTGAAATTCCTGAGGAGGTATGGACAGGAAAGGAGGTAACTCTCTCACATCTAAAATGTTTTTGGTTGTGTTGCTTATTTGCATGTAAACTCTAATGATAGAGATAAGCTTGATCCTAAAGCCAAGAAATATTTCTTTTTTGGCTATGGTGATGATAATTTTGGTTATCGATTTTGGGATGATCAGAATAGAAAGATCCCAAGACACAGGAATGTCACATTTAATGAAAATGTGATGTACAAAGACAAGCTTGAAGTAGAACCAATTAGCACCAGCAGACAGACATCTGAAACAAATGAGTTAGAAGAAATCTCAGGAAATGAAGTGGCTAGAGAGACTACAACTGGATCTGAAATTGAAAATGCCGAACCAGAAGCCGATTCTGGATCAGAATCAGAACCAGAACCAGAGATAGAATCAGATGGAGAACCAGATCTGGAGTCAGGACTTGAATCAAATTCGGGATCAGTTAATCCTGAACCTACATTAAGGAGATCTAAAAGAGTCACGAATGCTCCAGATAGGTTAATTCTCTCTATCCACTATTTACTTCTGATTGATGCCGGAGAACCAGAGCATTTTGTTGAAGCAATGCAGGTGATAAGCTCTGATAAGTGGAAGCTAGCCATGAAAGAAGAGATGAATTCTCTTCAAAAGAATAAAACATGGATACTTACAGTGTTACCAAAAGGAAAGAAGGCATTGCAAAACAAGTGGGTGTACAGGGTCAAGTAAGAGCATGATGATAAGAAGAGATACAAAACACGATTAGTAAAAGGCTTTCAGTAGAAGGAAGGGATTGACTACACCGAGATCTTCTCTCATGTAATCAAATTAACTATTATCAGGTTGGTGCTAAGTAATATAGCTGCAGAAAATTTGCATTTAGAGCAGCTATATGTTAAAACTGCTTTCTTGCATGGTGACCTTGAAGAAGACATCTACATGAAGCAACCCAAAGGTTTTCAAGTTTCTGGTAAAGAAAACATTGTGTGTAAGTTGAAAAAGAGTTTGTATGGTTTGAAACAAGCATCCCGGCAATGGTACAAAAAATTTGATGGATTCATGCATAATAATAGTTTCACACGATGTGAGATGGACCATTGTTGTTATATCAAAAATCTTGATAAATCCTATATCATTTTACTGTTGTACGTTGATGATATGATAATTGCAGGATCTAGCATAAATGAGATCAACGGGGTTAAGCAACAACTGGCGAAGGAGTTTGAAATGAAAGACTTAGGACCAACTAAGCAAATGCTTGGGATGAGGATTAGCAAAAACATCTCTGAAGGAACCTTAAAATTGTCTCAAGAAAAATACATACAGAAGGTACTAAGCAGGTTCAGTCTTCATGATGCAAAGACCAGAAGCACTCCACTCGGAAGCCATCTTAATTTGTCGAAGGACCAATCATCTAAGACAGATGAAGAAAGGAAGTACATGTCCAAAGTTCCATATGCTTCAGCAGTAGGAAGTTTGATGTATGCTATGGTTTGCACTAGACCTGACATAGCCCATGCAGTTGGAGTTGTCAGTAGATACATGTCAGATCTAGGAAAGGAGCATTGGGAAGGTGTAAAATAGATATTGCGATATCTCAAAGGCATATCAGGTATGGCACTTTGTTTTAAAAGGAACAATATTATCTTACAAGGTTTTGCTGATGCAAATTTAGGCGGCGATCTGGATAGTCGAAAAAGTACCACAGGCTACGTGTTCACCTTGGGTGGTACTGTTGTTAGCTGGATGTCCAAACTTCAGAAAAGTGTTGCTCTATCTACCACTGAAGCAAAGTACATGGCAAGCTCAGAAACTGAAAAAGAGATGATTTGGCTCAAGAATTTTCTTAAAGAGCAGGACAATTGTGAGCTTTTCAGCGATAG